CCCGGGCGCGCCCGGGGGCAGAGCGTTTCCCTTGGTCGGGCCCCGCTAGGGAGCCCCCTTGGATCTCGGGGCCCCCGGCTTCCCGGTCGGGGGCGCTGCCGCGGGCCCGCAGGGACATCCAGGGGCGCGGGAGGCGCAGGGCGCGGGGCAAGGCGCGCAGCATCGGGGCGCAGGCTGGGACGGTGCGGCTCGCGCTGAGGGCTCGCAGTTCTGGCGGCGGGCGAGGCCTTCGCAAACTGCTCCACCTATGGGCCGAGAATCCGCCGCTGCTGTCTGCGCCTCCAGGGACCGAGTGACCTGGGTGGGGGGAAAGACCAGCTCCTCCGTGTGATTTGGGGCAAGACTGCCAGCCTCTCTGTCAGTCTTTTAATCAGTAAAACGGGGATAATAATAGTGATCAACGCCATTGATCACTACCTCATCATGGTGGTGGTGTGAAGATTAAATAGGATGTGTGCACCTTTTATACTCAAGTGTCATTTCATTTAAAAAATGTCATTTCATTTATTAGTCATTTTAGCATTGTCTACAGCCACCAACTTCATGACCTCACCTCGCATTTGCATTTGCGTCTCTCAGATGTGACAGGAGGCAAGGCCGTGAAGTTAGCGACTCAACTCCCATTAAATTTCATGTTGGTCCCAATTTAATGTTTAATAAATTGGCTCGCAAAAATACTGTGAATGTGAATCGCTACTGTGCCCTCAGTGTCTATCACTGTCTTTGCAGAGGTCAGCAGTGGCCTTGTTTAGCTCATTCAGGGTGGATCAGTAAGGAGTATTCGGTGCACACTCTCCCTACCCTGCAATCTCCTACCCTTCATTTATTGAAGACACTAACAGTTCTGTCCTCCAACCCATGGCTGGACTGTTAGGCAATCTAGATATAAAATTCTCTTTTAAAAGTCACTGATGTTTGAAATCTCTTTGTTACAGCACCTAATTAATATACAGCCCCCTTGACAGAAACAGGATCACTGTTGGTTTGAGCCTTGGGAAAACAACCAACCAGGGAGATTTTGGTTACATGAAAGGCAAAGCTACCTAACCTGGCTTACGTAAAAGATGTTTGTTATAAGGGCATAATTAGCACCATAGGAAGTAGAATTGTCTTAGTTTAGGCTGCTATAACAGAATACCAAAGACAGCATGACTTACACAACAAACGCTTATTTCTTATAGTTCTGGAGGCTGGAAAATCCAAGATCTAAGTGCTGGCAGATTCAGTGTTTTATGAGGGCGCTCGTCCTAGTTTGAAAGCTGTCTTCTCACTGTATCCTTACATGGCAGAGAGCAGAGAGAGCTGAGATCAAGCTCTTGTATCTTTTCTTATAAGGGCACTAATCCTATTCATGATGTTTCCATCCTCATGACTTCCTTACTACCTAGAGGCTCCTCCCCCTAATGCTATCACATTGGGGACTAGGCTTCAACATTTGAATTTTGGGGAGTCTATCACAGGAACCAAAATGTCAGGGACCAGGGTCATTCTGGAGGGGTATAGTCTGACTCTTTGCTGCTTCTCTTGGGCTTCTTTTCATCCTGATGGTTTCACATGGCTAAACCGACATGGCTGTCCTAAGCTGGCTTCAACTCTCCAAGACTTTTAAGTTTAACCATCGCTGTTATCAAGTCACTCAGTCTGGTCCAAATCCATATTTCAGGAGAATTTCTGATGGGCCCACGTTGTCAGGCACCCATCTTGGGTCCAATCAGCTGCAGAGAAGAGGATTGCACATGGTCAAATATGGCAACCAGGGCTAGGGAGGAAAGGAGGTGGACGGTAGTCAATGGTCAGCCTGTCCACATTGACTGATGTGGAGCCAGTTGGGAGAGAAAATGATTCGGTTTGGAACATGATGAGTTTGAGGTGGTGCTGAACTTTTCAGAGGAAGTGGCTTGTGGGAGGCAGACAACAGGAGATATGAGAGCCCAGAGGAGGGATCAAAACTGAGCTTCGAGTTGGAGCAGTGGCTGTGGCCTGAACCCCAGAAAATGCTTTCTTCAAGGCATTTACCACTCTTGGAAACAAACTTATTTACTTCTTGTCTTCTCCACTAGAATGAAAATTCCATTAGAATAGGGACTTTGTTTTATTCGCTGCCTGGCACATAGTGGGTACTCAATAAATGTATACTGAATTAATCAACAAATGAAAGAGTTCTAAGCTTTGTGCTGGGGGGTGAAAGGTAGGCTACCTTCATTGTCTCATTTACCAAGGGATCGTTACCTCCACCTTATTTTCTGCTCTATTTTTGGGAGTTCAGACAGACAGCCTGAGGCTTTAGCCTGGGTATATACTAGGGCTAGAGGAGAGGGTGGGAGTGTAGGAAGAGCTTGGCTCAGGTAGAGCTTGGCTCTAGGTGGTTGTGTGTTTAGACATGTGTCTGGGAGGGTGAGGCCCTTTGTGTCCCCACTCCAGGCCTCAGTCTCCTTGATAACAAATGAGGGTTGAGACAGACTATGACTGAATGTTTTTTCTGTTCCCACATTTTCTGTATTTTTTTCTGGCTATAGCATCCTCAGGCCAGAAGAGGTCAGAGGAGGTAAGTCAAGGCTTAGAGACCTCTTTGGCTCTCAGGACTGGGATCACACAGCCTGGGGATGCCTACAATGGCCACAGGCCTGAGGAATGGGAAGGTGGGATGGAGGGGTAGGAAGAAGTCATGGAGCAAGAAAGGAGTCAGAGATAGAGACAGGGGATAAAGAAATAAAGAGTAAAGATAGAAGGGAAATATCTAAGGAAGAAATAATATGAATTCTCCACAATCTCTTCAGGAAAATAGAACCAGATGGAATACTTCATTAAAAAGTTTTTGTTTTCAATCCATAGTCTGAACTCTTAAGATCTTTTAAACTATTATGTACACAGGAATTTTGGTATCAGTTGGAACTAGCCTGGGTCCTATACAGAGGGAGCTTACTTAACTAAAGTTATACAAACACTTTAAGGCAGTCTCATTTTTTGGATACTGCCAAGCCAAGATTCCAGTAACATTTTCTGAAATCTCTGCAGAGACTATTGGTAAAAACATGGTACTATTTTTTTTTTCTAGGAATACTTTCTAATTCATTTTATGAGGACAGCATTACCTTAATACCAAAACCAGATAAAGACATTAAAAGAAAGGAACATTACAGACTAATATTTCTTATGAACATTGACACAAAAATCCTCAACAAAACATTAGCAAATTGAATCCAATAATTATTGGATTGTTATTATCCAAAGTGTAATACACCATGTCCAAGTGCAATTTATTCCAACTACATGAGGCAGATTCAACTTTTGGAAATCAGTGTTGTCCACCATGTGAACAACTAAAGAAAAAACATATGACCATATCAATTGATGTTGAAAAAACATTTTACACAGGGAAGGATTCTGGGAAAATGCCATAATATAAAGCACCAGAAATCTGTTCCCCCACCTAGACAACAACTGCACTGGCAGAATCTGTCTGATATAACTATTTTGTCTTTTTTTTTTTTTTTCGTGTCCGGCAACGGATCGCAACCCTCAGTGTTGCGCCTGTACCGGACCGGGACTGGCAACGGGATCGCAACCCTCGGTGTTGCTCCCGCACCTCGCTCAGCCAGTGAGCAGGAACCGGTCTGTATGTGGGATCCGAACCCTCGGCAGGAGTGCCACTGCGCTCCCAAGCGGCGCATTGTAGCAGTGCGCCACCGGGCCGGCCCCTGATATAACTATTTTGAAACTCTGGAGTCTATTGAAGGCTTGCAATTTGTTTCTAGGGGAAGGCTTGGAAGGTAAATTGCAGTTAATTTGGTCAATTTCAGCTTAGCACACTAGCAGCTACCCATCCCTCACTTCTAGCCCCAAGGAAGGCATCAGTGCAAGTGTTCCTGGAGCAGCTTGCATGCAACTCTCAGGAGTCAGGGTGGGCATAAAGGACCCTGTCCTTCAAATACTGAGATCACTGATTGCTGCTTCTCATCACACAGGTACAGACAAAGAAGCTGGCAGCCATTGTTGCACTTTCCCCTATTGTTGCAAGACCCTTCCCCTTCACTGAAATGACTTTCAGGGGATTTAAAGGGCTGGTGCCATTTTTTACTCTCTTTCATTTTTCTCTTTTTCCCCTTTTAGGAGCCAGACATTAAAGACTGAAACATTAAAAACAAAAGACAAAAAAACTGCATATATGAGAAAATTAGAAAGTGACTGTGCATACCCAGGGAAAAGTGCAGGCTCAGAAAAGACCTGTGAATACCTTAAGTTTACACCTCAGGCTGATCTTTGGCACAGACAACCTACAACAATAAGTTTTTCAAAACCCCAAAACAACAAATAAAAACAATAAAAAAAAATGGCAAACCCTAGGGAAGGGGGAGAATATGAGTTATACAGTTACCACATAATTAGATTCAACTGCCCAGTTCTCAACAAAAATCACAGGGCATACAAAGAAAGAGGAAATTATGTCTCATTCAAAGGAAAAATATAAATCAATAGAAACTGTCCTTGAAAAATACCTGATGGCATGGGGCTGGCCCGCGGCTCACTCGGGAGAGAGTGGTGCTGATAACACTAAGGCCACAGGTTCGGATCCCATATAGGGATGGTCGGTTAGCTCACTTGGGAGAGCGTGGTGCTGACAACACCAAGTCAAAGGTTAAGATCCCCTCACCAGTCATCTTTAAAAAAAAAAAAAAAACCTGATGGAAAATCTACTCAACAAAGACTTTAAAATAACTGTCTCAAAGATGCTTAAAGTTCTCAAAGTGTGTTACCTAGAAAAGAAAAAAAAAATTGCTCAAAGAACTGAAAAAGATGTGGAGAATGTCAAGAAAAAGAAACCTAAAAGGAAACCAAAAAGAAATTCTATAGCTGAAAATTACAATAATTAAAATGAAATTATTCGGGCCGGCCCGGTGGCTCACTGTGCTAGTGCGCCGCTTGGGAAGTGCGGAGGCGCTCCCGCCGAGGGTTCGGATCCCACATACAGACCGGTTCCCGCTCACTGGCTGAGCGAGGGGCGGGCGCAGCACCGAGGGTTGCGATCCCGTTGCCGGTCCCCGGTCCGGTACAGGCGCGACACTGAGGGTTGCGATCCGTTGCCGGACACGGAAAAAGACAAAAAAAAAAAAATGAAATTATTCACTACAGAGATTCAAAGGCAGATTTGAGAATGCAGAAGAAAAAAACAGCAAACTTGCAAATAAGGCAATG